CACACACACACACACACACACACACACACACACACACACACACACACGGTGCCAAGCGTCCTCCACCCAGCTGACTCCTGCAAGCAGCTTCCCACTCGGTGCGCAGCGGCCACAGCGGCCAGGAATTAAAATGCAGTGAGGAGGAGCCGGGGCGCGTCAGCACCGTGTCTCCAAGAGCGCACACAGCTCGCTGCTGCCTCCGCCCCGCCCGGAACCGCGGGGCCACCGAGCCTGAGGAGGAGGTGGAGGTGGAGAAGAAGAGAGCAGGTGCTGCACAGAGCCCAACCGCGCCAGCCGTGCACGGCCACAGCCCAAGTTCGCCTCGGGCTCCAGACGCCCCAGGTCAGGACAAGAAACCAGGAGATAGTAGCGGGCCGTGGTTCTTGGAGTCTCTGGAGAGGAAGGGGCAGCCGGGTCGCACCGAGGGTGCAGACGGTGGCTCCGCAGTCTTCCAGTTCCCGATGCCCGGGCAGGGAGGAGGAGCCGCGGCAGGGGCAAGGGGGGGCTGAAGGGTTCCAAGAACACTGACTGGACCTAGGAGAACCGGCAGAGGGAGCGACGCTGTACGGCCGCCGCAGCCACCGAGCCTGAGCCTAAACTGGGCCGGGGGAGCGAGCCCCGCTCCCTCCTGTCACCCAGAGAAGCCCCCAGCCCCAGGAGAGAGTGGGACGCAGCCTATGCGAGAGGAAGGGGCGACTGCCCTGACGCGGGATTAGGGGGAGCGCAACAGCTGGGCGGGGGAGCAACGTTCTGACCTCCCTCGGAGCAGCCTGGAGGGTCCGATAGGGAAGGTGAGGTAGAGAACGGGAAGGGGCCCCCGGGCAATCAGCGGCTCCCGCTAGCCCCAACCCAGTCCTTACACGCCCACCCACCCACCCTCTCGCCCTGGAGTCAGGGGAGGCCTCTGGGGGCGCTCGTTCCCCAGCTCTCTGTCGCCAGTGTCCCAGCGACGCTGGGCTAGTGGATTGGGACTGGCGGGATTCGTGGCAGGGAAGAGAAGGAAGCGGGGTCCCCAGATCAGTCGTGTCGGTCTAGCGTCCCTCCCCCAGTATGCCTATCTCAGACCAGGATTAGGGGAAACTCGAGCCAGGGTCCCCCGGGGGCCAGGACGACGGGGGCGGGAGCCGTTTGGCGTGGGGTTGGAGAGGCGGTGCCCGGGGGGTCCCCGACAGAGGTAGTGCGCCGAGAGAGATCCCGGGGCCAGCAGGGCGGGGAGCCGCTCCGGGAGAGGCCAGTGCCAGGAGCGGCCAGCGGCGGCAGTGCCCGGTCCCGGGTGGGTGCCCGCGGAGGCGGCGCCGGGAGGGCATGCCGCGCCACCGGGGCTCCTTCCGGGCGCACGCTTCCCTGGCGCGGGCTGCGCGTTGCTGCTGCTGCTGTTGCGGACTCCCATGGCGGCTCCGCCTGGCCGGGGCCGCCTCCCCCTCCGGCCGCGGACTGAATGAATGAGCCGGAGCGGCGGAGGAGCCGGGCTGCCCCTCGCGGCGGGGGCGGCGGCGGCGGCGGCGGCGGCACTGAGCCCCTCGGGACGCTTCCGCATGGCCCGAGAGGAGCCCGGGGGGGCGGCGGCGGTGGTGGCCGGGCAGCTCGGGGGCGGCCGGAACGACGGCCGGGAGCGGGCGCTCCCGCGCTCGGGGCCCCGGCGAGGGCGGCTGCCCCTCAGCCGCGCTAAACTGCACGGGCTGCGGCACATGTGTCCGGGGCGCACGGCGGCCGGCGGTTCCTTCCAGCGTCGGGCGCTGTGGGTCCTGGCCTTCTGCACGTCGCTGGGCTTGCTGTTCTCCTGGTCCTCGAACCGCCTGCTCTACTGGCTCAGCTTCCCCTCGCACACGCGGGTGCATCGCGAGTGGAGCCGCCAGCTGCCCTTCCCGGCCGTCACCCTGTGCAACAACAACCCGCTGCGCTTCCCGCGTCTCTCCAAGGGGGACCTTTACTACGCCGGCCACTGGCTCGGGCTGCTGCTGCCCAACCGCACCGCCCGTCCGCTAGTCAGCGAACTGCTCCGAGGGGACGAGTCGCGCCGCCAGTGGTTCCGCAAGCTGGCCGACTTCCGCCTCTTCCTGCCGCCGCGCCACTTCGAGGGGATCAGCGCCGCCTTCATGGACCGCCTGGGTCACCAGCTGGAGGACATGCTCCTCTCCTGCAAATACCGGGGCGAGCTCTGCGGGCCCCACAACTTCTCCTCTGTAAGTTGGCTCTAGTCACCCCCTCCCCCGGGCCGCGGGCTCCCTCTTCTCTCCTTATGCTTGCAGGATCGCTGTCTCTGTCTCGGAATCAGGCAGCCAGTCTTCTGGCTGATGCTTCCCACTCTCATGGGGCCTGAGTCAAGCCCCTGTCCGACTTTGGGACTCTTCCCTTTCCCTCCAATCCCTTTCTTTACTCGACACTACTTCGTTGCAGCCGGGACCCTGTGTCCCTCCCCTAGCCCCAGCAGGCTCACCTAAGTGAAGCTGCTGGGGACAACCCAAAGTAGGGAGAGAGAGGTGCCCGCTGCCCATCGGGGTGCTCAGTGCCTTGGCCCCGCTACCCTTCTAGCCTTAGCTCCAGATATTCTTTCTCTTTCCCCCGTTCCTACAGCCCTTAGCACCAAGCAGGTGGGACGAATCCTGATGGTTGGGTAGGTGGGAAGGAAGGGATGGGGAAAGAGGAGAGAGCAGTTCTGTCCAAGTAGGTAGTGTTTGTTGTCTTTGGGGGAGGGAGGGAGGATGGAACAATAATACAATCGATTCAGTAAATACGCCAGCTGCTAAACACCCAGAGATGCTCAGCAGCCTTAGTAAGACTGATATCTCAAACAGAGAAACTCTGTTTAGATTCTGGGGAGGGAACTCCTGAAATGTCACCCGTCATAGAAACTGCAGGTGGCCTGGGTCTTTGCCCAGACAGGGAGGGCGTATATAGCCACAGAACCTTTGGTACAAGGACGGGAGTATCATAGTTCCCCCAAGGAACTATGTCACAGACATAGGCTTTCACCAAGGAAAAGTTGCTAACTCAGGGTTGGATAGAATGTTCTCTCCTGGTGGAAAGCAGCATGGAAAGGGGCGTAGAGAGGACTCCTAACAGTTAGCAACAAGGAGATGCTGGGCTGGGAATTTGTAAGCGATTGTATGTGCTCATTCTTCTCATGCAGTGGGTCTGGATAAAACACCTGTCTGACAGAAGGCAGATTTTTGGAATCTTGACAACTAGGATTTCAAGGGCCCTAGATGGAGGAAGCTGGCTTAACTATTTAGTGTCTCATTTTTTTTTCAAAATGCTATTGAAGGTTGCTGTGTGTTTTAGGTTTCATAAAGAAAATACGTGTATATAAATATAATATATATATATATATATATTGTTAGCTTGGGGGGGAGGGCTTTAAAAAAAAAAACAGCACCCAGTGATCAGTCTCCAAGAAGCTAGATGGGAAGATAGAGGGTGCTATGGAATGAGCTCTTGAACTGAGTCATAGGACTCACAGATTGAAGCCTGACTCTTCTTCTTATTACCTGTGTGACCTTGGTCAAGTCAAATATTTTCTGGGAGCCTCAGTTTCCTCATTTGTAAAATGAGGTAGTTGGATTAGAGACCTTTGAGTCTTTATGATCTTAGGACATGTATTTCCATAGATGTCTGAAGAGGCTCACATGGGACCAGCTGGGCTTGCCATAATTCAAATATACATTTACCTGTGTGTAAGTGTGGTATGTTTCCTGACCTGCTATTTCTGCTGTTCCTTCTTTATTATTTCTTGACAGTTGACCCCTTGTATTGCTTTGAGCCTCTACATGGAGTGGGCCTGGATCAGAGCCTTCCATAGTATTCTTGCTGTTGGCTAGGGGTTTGTTTGTTTGTTCATTTGCCTTCGTTATTGTCCTGGTTAGCTGCTGAACTGTCAAGTGGGCCTGGCACTGAAGCTTTTCTCCTCAGGCTGCCTCCTTTGGACAATCATTCTAAACTTTGTAAAGATGAATTTCATCTGTCTGGGATTCTATTTTGTTGGCTGCTTATTGATTGACTGATCGATTAGCAGCCTCCTTCAGGTGATAGCAAAGTAGACATGCTGCATGAAAGCTTCAATAATTTTTACCCCCCAATCAAGCATTTATTGAGCACCTACTACATGCCAGGCACTGAGCTAGGTGCTGGGGATGCAAAAATTGAAGCCAATAGCTGCTGCCCTCAGAGAGCTTAGATTCCAATGAGGGATAGAACAGGCAGGGAGTGGGTGGGAGGGCTAGCAGCTGAGGGGAATCAGGAAAGGAAATCATGTGGAAGGTATCACTTGAGCTGAGAGGAAACTGGGGACTCTAAATGGTGGGAATGACCAACATTGGGCTGAAAACTACAAAAATGAAACCTGCCAAGTCATAAAACTTAAAGCAAATCCATATGACAATCCTTCATTCCCTCTCATGTGTCCCTTGACCTTTTAGGTTCTTTTGGATGGCATTCTTCCTTGGGCCAATATTTTAGGTTCTTTTGGACAGCATTCTTCCTTGGGCCAATATTTTGTTCATTCTTTCAGCATGTTTATTAAGTTCTTACTATATCTCAGGAACTAACCTCTACATTCTTCATACTTCTCTGTTCAAAATATCCATCTTCAGGGGCAGCTAGGTGGTGCAGAGAATAGAGCTCTGGCCATGGAGTCAGGAGGACCTGAGTTCAAATCCAGCCTCAGACACTTACTAGCTGTGTGACCCTGGGCAAGTCACTTAAACCTGTTTACCTCAGCAAAAAGTTAAGAATATATATATATATCCATCTTCACTTTGGGGTAGACATTCCCTCCTTCCTCTGAGAGGCAGCATGACACAGTAGAAAGAGAAGTCTTTGGTACTGGGTTCACATCCTGACTCTACCACTGTTTCTGTCGGGGGAAGTCATTCTTTCTAGGTCTGTTTCCTCTCTGTAAACAGAGGGGGTTGGACTAGATGACCTCTAACCTAAGAAATGTCCAGCTTTAGGTCTATTATTTGAAGTCAGTTAGGTTGGCTGTCTGGCCCTAGAAGGCTTTGACCTTGTGCCTCGTGCCTGCTCCTTCCTCCTCCCCACTACACACACACACACACACACACACACACACACACACACACACACACACGTGCATATTCCCATGACCTCTTGTAACCCTATCATGGGACTTCCTTAGTCCTCAATACCTAACAGTGGTAGGCTAATATGGATGCCCCAGGTTTGGAGGCTACTTTCCCCCTATACTTCTGGAAGCCATTTCAGAAGGATCCTTAACCTGCCATGTGGTCCTGTCATTCTTCCACCAAGAATGCCACCAATGTGATCATCTTCATCCAAGACCACTAGCCAATTTCTAGTTGGAATTTTTATGGCTCAGTCACAACAGGACTGGGCTCTAGCCTCAGATACTTTTCCTGTTTAACAATTAGAAACTTTCTATTAACTTAGTGGGGGGAGGAGGAAGATGAGGAAAAATGCTTTGAATGATTCCCAGACCTCTATGGTTCTCTAGATCCCCAAAGTAACTTGGTTTTACTAGCTAACAAATCAGCTAGAAAGATATCATGCAAGTGATTTCCCTGGAGTGGTACACTGACTCTCACTCATAACCTTTCTTCTATTCATGCCAATGGACCTTTGCCCTGAATGCAGATTGTACAACTACCTGGGTGTGTTTGGAGTTAAGGGGTCTGGGGGCAGCTTTGGGACTTCTCTTTTTCCAGCTGGTTCAGTGTGGCTATTTACATTCCTGTTTGGGTTTGGTGTCATTATCCAACTGCTAATCCAATTAGCATCATTAATAAAAGGAAGTTCAACTGTTTCTCAATGCCCATTCTATTTCAGTGGCCCTGGAGTTTCTGGCTCTGGGATTTTGGCACTTCTGCTGTCTTTCCTGGTGTTACAAAGAGCAGACTACCCATTCATTGGCTAGGATGGAGGGTGTGAGAGAGCCAGCTCTAACAGTTATTTGGGCACCATACCTAGGACACCATATACACTTAGGGGTATGTATTGTGTTGGGGGGAGGGGTGGCAGGTGTCTGTACTGGCTACCCTAGGGTCAGTTGCAGAACCAGGAAGCAGTGAGACATTTTTCACATATTTAGGGGGGATTCTTCTGCTAGTTGATAGGACCTGGGAGATAAGGATGCAGAAGGGGTTGGGGAGTAGCCACCTGTTTCCATCACCCCAGCGTATACCATCCAAAGTGGCAGTGTGTTATAACGGAACACTGGACTTGAATTTTAAAGTCCTGGGTTCAAATCACAGCACTACCACTTCCTGGCCACATGATAATAATAAGTTGCTTCTCCTTTCTGAACCACAATTTCCTCATTTGCAAAATGGTAATAATACTTTCATGCCTACTTCATGAAGTTGTTGTAAGGAAAACACTAGAGGCAGCTAGATGGCTTAGTGGATAGAGCACTGGGCCCAGAGTCAGGAATACCTGAGTTCAAATCTGACCTCAGACACTCACTAGCTGTGTGACCCTGGGCAAGTCATTTAACCCTGTTTGCCTCAGTTTCATCATCTATCAAATGAACTGGAGAAGGAAATGACAAACCACGCCAGTGTCTTTGCCAAGAAAACCCCATATGGGGTCATGAAGAGTTGGGCTTGGCCGAATGATTGAACAACAACCAAAGAAAAGACTTTGTAAACCTTTTTTTTTTTCTTCTTTTTGGACTGGATCTGTGATTTCATTGGTGAGGAAACTCCTTCCATCAACACAAGTCAGCACCTCTTGAAACTTCTAGTCTTAGAGATTTGCCTGGGGCACTAATAGATTTAGTGATTTGCCCAGAGTGAACTCAGGCCTTCCTGACTCGGAGGCCAACTTTCTACCTACTATGCCACCTTTTCCCTCCTATGAACCTTATACTATTAAAAATGTGAATGATTATAAAATATTACTAAGTTTGAGTCCTGTATGTTCACAGCAAAACATTTCCCAAAGCCAAAGAAATGTTTGTTTTGGTCCTTTTAAAACACTTTGGCTGCTATCAGCAAGAGAGAAAGAAAATGAGCATTTTTGTATAACACTGACCTTTTCTGCTGAAATGCTGCTCAGAAAGACCTGAAGTACTGATGTAGAAAGGTAGATAAGGAAAGTCCCCTTGCTATTGAGAAGCAGCGCGCCATAGAGCACTGGACTTGCCATCAAGACCTAGGTTCAAATCTCACTCCAGATACTTAGTAGTCACTCTGTCCGTCAATTTCCT